TCATCCCTAGGTGTAGAATGGGCATAACATCATTTAAAATGCTAGCATGTTCCCTCTCAAGATTATCTTTGGTAGTAAACTTCATTATGGTCGGTAAGGTTGATCTTCTTTTCTTGCTGGATAATATGTCGACTGCGTAGTTGCGACAGAGGTTCGTCGATGCTGCGTGAGAGGCGTAACAAAATGAAGCAACAAGAAAGAAGAACACGTTGCTGATCAGCAACAGCAAGGCTGGCGTTGTTGAACTCGCTTGTGGGCTTGTGGGTGATTGTTACTCTCAGTTGCGTGTTGATACGTGATTCAACAGAATGAGCATACTCAATCGATTTCCACGACTCGCTCATCTGAGCACTCTCTGTAACAAGAATGTACGTCATCGACATAGTAAACGAACCTTTGCTTGGTTTGCGTCTAACCTTATTTCTTCCTAACCTAAACCTGGGGGTCAATTCTGTATCTTACACTATAGTGAAAATGCTAAAAGTGAGTAGCCTTTCTAACCTGTCTCCTTAAAAAAGAGACAAAGCCGATCACTTTTAGCATTTCCACGATGTTATAAGATACAGAATTGACCCTCTGAACTAATGTTCGTAACTAATACGATAAACAATAACACTGTAAAATTACAATAATACGGCTATTCAAATCGAGTGATTAACAATCTAGTTGAATCCAAGTCACAAGTCTCTATAGAGAGAGAAAGGCCCAGTCTACAATGAGTTGTTAGTCGTTAGAAGTCGGAACTATGTCAATCCTTTTTCTTTATGGATGAAAGAAAAAGGGCCGACATATAGTCCCGATTTCTGACTAACGACTAACTTGTCGCAGACTGGTCCTAAGGCCCAGTTTACAGTGAGTTGTTAGTCAGAAGCTGGAATTATATGTCAATCCGTTGTCTTTATGGGTGAAAGAAAAAGGGCCGCCATATAGCTCCGACTTTTGACTAACGACTAACAACTCATTGCCGACTGGGTTTAACGATCTAAATTCGCTTTGGTTCTAGCTTGATGTTTTTTTCTAATTTTCCAGGTCTGTCGCTTTTCCTCAGAGACCAACGACCCACCGATACCCACGAATCCGCTGAAGGACATATACAGTGCGAATAATCAAACCGGGACCGGAGTGATATACGACAAGAAGCCGTTCAGGATAGTCCTCAAACCTGGCAAGAATTACTCGTGGTGTCTCTGCGGACAAAGCAAGAACCAGCCGTTCTGCGACGGCACGCACAAAGACATTTTCCTCAAGATAAAGCTCAGACCTATACGTTTCGTTGTTACGGAGACCAAGGAGTATTGGCTGTGCAACTGCAAGCAGACGTCGAATCGGCCTTTCTGCGACGGCACGCACAAGAGGCCGGATATACAGGAGAAGAGAGGATAACTCATGAAACTACATTGTTGAAAACTAGCATCATGAATTTCGAAATAAAGATTACTTTTATTACTTTTATGATGTGCCATACCTCTTGTAGATATCGGGAGTGGTGTGTATAATATACATATACCTTTGTAATTACGCTTGTTACAGAAATACGCTCTATTATTAATAAAAATATCTTGGACACGCGTGATGGATAAAAACAATCCCATTTCTAATTCCTTTTTTAGAAAATGATCGGCCAAAAACTGACAAAACAAGTAACATTTCTGTAATTCGAAGAAGTAACAGGCGCTTTCGATTGCTTGCACTAGTGCGCACTGAGTGCACACTAAGGCTTGTTTACGGGGTCAATTTTTATATTTACGAATCGTCTTAAACATCCCGTGAAATATTTAGCCAGTAAAATGATTGTATAGCATCCATACGGATCATTTTTTTTGCTAAATACTCTTTGGACGTGTATTTAAGCAGGTTTGGGGAAAGTTACTTTATAAAAGTATCTATCCATACAGCACAGTAAAGTTTCAGCAACATTGCCTAAACGCTGCGAAATGTTGCTACAACGCTGCTGCAATCTTGCAGCAACGGTAAAATGTCCGCCTCCAGAAATATTACAATGTAATATTACAGCAACATAGCAATATAATGCATACATAATATATGTTTTCTCGAAGCGCGGTGTGTTTCACTTCTCTTTTAAATTCGTAGTAAATAAAGATTTGCAATTTAGAAATATACATTTGTATACACCAACTATTGAGGCAAAATCTCTAATCTTAGTAGTTAGAATTTAAGTAACAATGATTTTTGTTCCGATACATTTTCTCGATTGAACAGAATTAATCGTTTATTTAATCGGTACCAATAAGTCCGCAGAATGATACACAAAACGTAGTAACAGTCACGGAACAAAGTAATGTAAAATATTAAGTACAGAATTTTCCATTTCGTAGGCGGGACAACGAATTCTCAACGTTTTTTTGTTGTTTTTCACTCGGCGCGGTATCGTACGACGTTACGCGGGCCAAAGTTTACCCGAAGGTCGCCGCGTTCTCATTCGCTCGCCGAACGTCGTGCCGGCAAGCAGTGGCGAGAGTCGCTCCGTGCGTAGCATTACTTTTGCGTTATCGGTTTCCAATGAATCGTCGGGTAAAATGATAACGAAAAATTTTAATATATTATAAAGGCAAGGCCTATGCTATTTGTGGAAGTTTAAAAAATATATAAATTATTAAAGTAACTATTAAATTAGTTACTAGTTATCGAAAAAATGTAACCGAGTTCAATTACAGTTACAGATGGAGAGAAAGTAACGAAATTAAGTTAGAGTTACCAAAAAGAATAGTAACTGTAACTTCGTTACAAGTAACAAGTTACTTCCCAACCCTGTATTTAAGACAGAGTTAAATGTCAAATTGACTATAAACAGGCCTTAGTGTGCAATTGATGCGCACTGGTGCAAGCAATCGAATTCGCTATAAATTGTTAGAAAATAGACATTGAGATTAAATCGCCATATAGCTGTGTTTTGTCTTTCCCCAGTAAGAATACTAATGTCGAATCGGGTCGCCATGCACGATTTCAATGCCTCCACAATTGCATAATTATCTTGTCCGATTGATGCGTATTTCCGACGTCGGAAATACGTAACACTCGCATTTCTATCGTCAAAAAGAAAATACAGAACGCGCGTTGCACGAGTTGCAGTGCGTCCACAGTGCTCTGAAATAATTAATGTCGTGTTCCCTTTTAAAATTTTAAGACAAAAAGTTTGAAGAATGCCAAGCGTTAAATTAATATTGTCCTTATTCATTATATATGCGGCATGTTCAACGATCTGCGATCGTTGTTGCTTGATCAATCGCCACGAGTTGCCGCGATATGATCTAATAAGGAACAATTCGCACTCGAGTCAACCGATCATATCGCGAAAGGTGGTATCCGACGTGAACGCGTGCAAGGAATTCGCCGCATCGAAGAAGGCCCTCGCCTTCAATTTCGTCTCCACGAGGAACCGCACCGGTAGGTATGCGAATGCCAGGCATTTAAATGTAATTGCGACGTGTACAATTATGATAACTTGACGGGACGGTCTTCTTGTAATTATGGCGAAACATAATGCGAATTACAAGCGTAACTGTGCTGTAAAACGCGATGTAATCATTCAATTAATCATTCAATTAACGTGATTAATTCAACGCGCGTTTCGTGTAATTTCCCCGGTGTATGATCTGCTACGAATGTATCCTGGTGAAAATTTTTCATAATTTTTACTCGTATAAAAATTTTGAGAAAACGTTTCACCAGACTTGTTTGTACATTAACACGCAGGTGGACGAGAAAAGTCGTGTCAAGCTCTTCAATGCCCCGAAGATCACAATATGACCACCCTCGTGCCCGCGGCAAATTGCGAATACTACAGCATGTACCCCGTTTTATCTCCGCCCGGTAATTACAATTATAATTACTCGTATCAGAATCCGCGTAACAATCCACGGAATTTCCCCATTAGCACATCAGTCATTAAATGCTGCACGAGGCGTCCGAATATATTTTTCGAAACGCAAGCTGCCGATGTATCATTAACATTAATTGCTTCCAGTGAATGGTACGGTGGAGTGTATTCCCAAAGCGGGGATATTCGTGCTCTCGGCCGAAAGCCTAAATTATACGGAGGCACGAAGTTTCTGCCAGAAACAAAACGCGTCGCTCGCCCACGTAATTAGCGAAGAGCGCACAGAAGGCCTCGGTAAATTCGTGTCGCAGAATCCTCCCAGATTCGTGGGTCTCAGCAGCGGCGAAAACAGGCAGAGAATCTGGAGGAACGAATTCGGTAATTCGCGACCACGTGTCTTGTTTGCAACGAGATAATCCCAGAGAGAAATGACTCGTTGATTGATGTCGAAACGATACCGAATCGACGGTAATTTAGCAGTGTCGATGATTCGACATCGATCGACAAATTATTTCTCCCTGCGATCTTTCGAGCCGCATTCTGAGAGGTTTCTCGACGAAACTCTCAGAAGATATGATGATTTTCGACAGGTGAGCCCCTGTCGTGCTTCGACTATCGAGCATGGGGCGAGGGAGAGCCGTCGCACTCCAAGGGTTGCGTCGCTCTCGTAAATCCGCCTGCCAAAAGTTCGCCGCCCTTCTGGAAAGTGATGCCCTGTTACTTATCGCTGCCGTTTATCTGCGAAATCTCGCCGTTGTCTCGAGAATCGTCAAAACGACGTCACAACAGCAGTCACGCATAATGTGATTATATTATTATAAATGCAATTATACATTTTAAGAAGCACTAACAAGGGAAGTCGTGCGGTGCCCGATTTAAGCGGTGATTTTTCTATGTGTAGTTCTTGATGAGGAAGAGATTTTGTGAAAGTACAAAAGTGTCGTACACCGCAAAGTGTTAAGTCTTGCTGAAGAATATTTAATATTTTTTTTTTACAAATACGTGAGAAGTGCGCGCTTTCACAAAATCTCTTCCTCATCGAGGACTACGTATAGAAAAATCACCGCTTATAATCGGCGAGGAGCATCGCGTCTCCTCCCCTTGTTAAACCAATTTCTGCCGTCAAATTTCCACATATGATAAGGACTGTTTTTGTTCTGCTTTCCGCAGATTGACAGGAACTCCATTTAGCAATAAGAGATAAGGTCGGAATAAAGGTAGACGTTAAATGTATGTATAGAGATTTAATGTAGGATTACAGGACTCCAGCATTGCGTATATAGAGAGTGTGACTTAACTCTCCAATGGCTTTATTTACAGGTACGATTGTTAATCCGACGTATGCACGGTTGGACACGTTGACAAAAAAAGGGGAAAATATATTTATATTTATATATATATATATATAACTCTCACTCGATCGCGCTGCGCTTACACATGTATATGTACATAATAGGCCTAACGTTAATAACATTAAAAATCGTTTCACTTGGGTCGTTAACTCCAGTCTCCTTACGTTCTAGAGCATGCTTTCTACAAGGATATCACTTAGCAACTATGCAGCCAGACAGCTGTACGCTGCCGCATCCGTCCGACGCTTTTCGACAGGATATTCATCGAGAACAGCTCGCTAGAGCGTGATATAAAAACGATCTCGATAAGATTCGTTGTCGAATAACACACAATCGGAAATAAGTCTGCCATTACATTAGTCTTACAACCTCGTCTGCGATATTTATTCGCCATAGCGCCGTACATAGTGATAGACCGAAAGCGTGTGAGAGACAGTTACATCGTGATTAATGCACGACCGATTATAATTTGTTGAATCACTGGCGTTAGGATAATATTCGGGACGCGATACCTTTAGAATAAAGATTTCGTTCGCGATCTTTTCTCGCACGTTCTCACTCGATGCGCAGAATTACTGCTCAACATTGTTATATTTACAGATTAACATTTTCCTCAATTGATTTTGGAAACATCCATTTCAAACCTATTCTGGAAGTTCGGTGGCGAACGGAAAGGCTTTATAAATTCGTAAGTACAGGTCTAATCTAATTAACGCATTTACATTGTTTCTCAGAATATGGTCACATTAAGATAGAAGTGAATGATTATGTTCGTAACGATTGGATCGCAAGAGATGTGTGATAGGGAAGACGAGATGTACCTGCAAGAGTGCGAAACTATGACTAACCGATACTTGACAAACAGCTATTCGTTATAAAAAATATCTCCAAAAAGACGTGAAATGCAATCAAATGCTTTAATTGAGCCTCCACGAGTCTCGATTATGACTTTACTCAAAACGTAATCACAAAGGAAAAAATCGGCAAAAATTCTCCCGAACTCGCTTAAAAACTATTATTGTCACGCGTTACACTTGCAAGAAGGTGCATAATGGTGTCGCATTCGTAAACCGAAGCTCTGTATACCACACGAGTGAACATATAGTCACATAAAAATTGTCCCGTTCAAACGACCTGATCTGCAGCGAAATATAAAAGTATAAAAAGACGTGATTAGAGCGACGTACGAATTTGAATGTGGTCTCGTTTATCTTGAACTTTCTTTTGTAAGCATGGTCAGTGTTAGATTATGCCGATTGAAAGAGTTACCCTTGAGTTCGTATTAAAATGAACGCGTTACATACACTGTATAGTATACAACTATGCAAATTAATACAATCTTGTACGGAATTGCAAAAAGAAGCTTCTCAAAATTATCTAAAATACTCTACAAATATAAAGAGGTACCTCCGTCGTTAAAAGCCATTGTTAATTAGAGTTAATGAATTTCGTAGAGCTATTCTTGCGATGCCTTGTGATAAATTTTCGAAATAGCATATGTGTGTCGATAAAAGTGTGCTTTTAAAGTAATGAACGATGTAGATCAGTAATACCTTTTCTCAGAAAGGAAGAATCGCGAAGTACAAGCTATTCAGTACACATAAATTCAAAATGTATATGTTGAAATATTATAGCCTTACGATAATTAAGCCAACTTATGAATTGCATATCGATATTTTTCTAATGTTCGGGGACGGATTACATATGAAATAAAAACGTTTGAAATAGTAATTCTTTCTGCTGCATCGTAACTTTTTCTCCATGCAGGAAATTGATAACAATCATATAATACATACCGTGGAATTTTAATTCGAGGAAAGACATTCCACTTAACGTAAATATAAATCTGGTTTTCTTGCAAAAATTTATTACGGCTACGAATATCAGCGTATGCAGCTAAAGTATATTTGCAAGACATTAAGTGATTGAGCCGCCCGAAAATATATATCGTTTTATACAAACCTTAAATACTGCGCAGTACATTAATAAATTGCAATTCGACCAACATATACACGTCCGATTATCAAGTAAATATGATAATTATACCGCTCTTCAAACCTGCTAGGTTTCGCATGGAACTATTGATCGCTAAAAATTAATGGAGACGAGAGAGAATAAAATATACATATATATGTATATACACATATTATTTAATGCATATCTGCATAAAAATAAAGTCTCTTTTATATCAACCTGATTAGAGGAAATAGCTTTCAGCCCACTATTGTTAAAGTATTAAATATATTTTATGGAATACCGCGATATAAAAAATTAAATAGCGTCTCGTATTTCCTCTCGATATATCTATAATCTTTCCGCGTTAGGTTTTACCATATTTACTTAAAATTGCATTTTCATAAAAAAAATAAAAACTTTTTTTTATATATTCAAGATACGACTCGCGACTGTATCGAATGAAGCTGCTAACCTGTCGTTTAAAGCGGCCTACAATACATTCTTAGTTTTACCGTCCTACCATGATACTTTCATATTTAGGACAGAACAGAAGTGTTTCATTCATAAACGTTTCTCTCTCGCTGTGCCTCATTCCTATATCGTATAACCACGTGACGCTACGATATATCACATATCGTGCTATTAGCACCGTTTCAAAGACATCCCGCTTAGGAACGGAATATGCTTCGATAAGCGGGTGAGAATAAATGGCTCGACGAACGCGTCGAATTAGACTTGTACGAGTCGCGTATATGTCCGTAGTCCGGTGATATTACTCGTGAAAAAATCAACGAGGATCGCTTATCACTATCGTTGAATGAGGCATCTCGGAAATGCAATAAACAAAATGCTTACATTGGCACTCAGATTACTGAAGAAATCTACAGCAAATCATCACATACATCGCGAGGCAGCTGCGTTCGTTGGATAAAAAAAAAAGAATCACATAATTCTTACACCCTATCGAACCACTAATTTAAGTACTTTTCTATCCTTTTTCACATTCTTATCGTCCGTGATGATAAAATTAAGATATAATTAGCAATCTTTCGTAAAGTCTATTAAAATGTATACGTAAATAAGTAACGTAAAATAATAAATAAAATGCAAATTGGTACAAGAAAAGCACAGGCACCCATCTGGAAGGACACTTGCGCTATTTTTTCCTTTTCTCCGTTTGGAACTTTACGCCGCAAGATTTTTCGTGCTACTGACAATGGAGAAGTTTCATCATAATAATCTAGAATATGTGCAAATATACATTGAAGATTTTCGCCTCGTAATTTGATATGTGTCGTGAGTTCGAAATAAAAATTGCGGAGCTCGAGCCGCGCGATTGCGAATGTCCCGGGCATCCGTAAGTCGGCTATGATTTTCAAGAGAGTGATCAAATCGGGCAGTCGTAACAATGAGATCTGTTAAATGATCGGAAACGGAACGACAGGGAAATGCCTTTACAGACGAAGAATGTCGTATGGAATGTTGCGTTTTTAACCGGATCGCGCGAATACTGCATCGACGGAGTAAACAATAAACGAATACTACCAAATGAATAAATATTATATGTGTGTGTGTGTGTGTATATATATATAACAACAGTAATAGCAATGAACGTTATTCTAGCAGCAGTATTAGTTTCTTTCTCATTAGTGATTTAATGAGAAACCAACACAGTGGTAGTACGGGCAGATAAATATACTATTGATTTTCCTCTCTTAACACCGATACGTATTATACTTAGCTGTTAGTCGGCGCGTTCGCGAGAAGAGGTACGAGCTGTTCGGAGAGCTGTCCTATTGTCGCCTGCAATGCCGCTTGTTTCTCCTCTAACGCGACGACCTTGTGGAAGCAATTTAAATTAATATCGCGTGTCCTCGCGTGCTTGCAACGTACTGAAAATTTAATAGGGTATGGATTATTTTTATATTTACCCTTTCCAATAATTTAGTGTACAGGGCATACGGTACGTAGGCCGGTTGACCAGATGCACTAGGACTATGATCGGCGTTGGGGCTCGTTTCGGCTCTCGGACTTTTGTCTTTCTGTTTGCTATCGTCGTTATCGGTATCCGGCTTGTTAGTAGAATCCGTGGCATTTCCTTGCGTCATTAATCTAACGAGAGATTTAATGTACGTTAAATTTGCGAAAGAAATAATTTAGAAAAAGTTGTCAAAAACGTCGAAACTTACCGCGAGAAATTTCGTTCCTTTTTCACTTCCACCTTTTCGACTCGATCTACCGTGGCGGTTTTTCTCCTCTCCATCTGATTCATCTTCAATTCTTCGACCTGCGTGGGATCGACGATGATATTAATAACGATAACATTAATGAACGCTGTATACATTTCTTACATTCTCTCTCTATTTTATCTCTAAGAGTGGCGCATTACCCATGGTGCTTTTCTTCTCGCTTTCGCCGCAAGCCCGTCCGTTTCTTCGTCAGGTATTTGTTCCAACGTGGTATCAGTGCGTCCATTAGACAGATTATCTTCCTGCAAATTGTAGAAGACGTTAAAATCAATACTTTTGTTCGGGCGTTAATACATGATGTTAGTTCTTTCTCAAAGTCACAGTACCAAAAGGGCGTAGGTTGGTAATATTGGTAGCGTCGAGGATGCGCTTGTGTTGGATCCAGCAGCGTGATGGCGTAGATGCTGCGACGAAGGCGGACGTCGCCGAGGCGCTTTAGCGCGAGAAGCTGTCAAATGCGAAAGCGGAGTGCCCTCCCCACGTTCTACACCGTCCAACTCCTCGCGACACTCCGAGGTGGTGCTCGTCGTGTTGTTGATACCATTATTATTTCCCACGTCGCTCACGAAACGCTTCAGGCTCGATATAATCGAGTGGCCACCGGCCGCCTTCTTATCGCCGCTTCCGCTTCCGGTGGACGTTAACGACGACGACGTTGAAGTGGACATCGTAGATAGGCTCTTTTTAGCGGTGTCTATAGTAGGGAAATGATCTAACAAAACACGAAATCTGAGGCTCGATCGTGAATCTTTTTCTCTAGCGTAGACTCGTGAAAAAGGGCGAATTTCATTAACGAATTCAAGACTTGTCAACGAAAATATTCACTTTACACGAGTTCACGCTTGAGGGAAAGATTCACTTACGTTGTACTCACGCGAAATGAAAATATCGTTCATACTCCAGTACGAAACGGTCCCTTACCTGATATATTACTTGAATGCATATTCCGGGTATCCAGACTTTTCCTAACGTGCGCCTTCTCCACTTTCTTCACTTGTTGATGAGAATGTCTGACACTCGACTTTGCACTTAACGACGTTGTTTCGTGCCACTGGGATCCTTGCTCCTGGGACTCGTTTTTCACACCAATCATCTCGACGAAATTGTCAGGGAACAACCCCACTTGCCCCTTCAATTCTCCTCTCCACCAACCCTGTGTAAATTATTATACACATGAAACATTTTAATCGTGTACTTGCTGTTAGCATCTTGTTCCTTAATGAAATGGATTAGGAACCTTGTCCGGCGCATCCTTAGATAAAAGGGCGATCACGTCTCCTTCAACCAGAGTAAGCTCATCCTCATTAGCTGCCTCGTATGGAAAGAGTACTCTACACATTTCCTTCTTATCTCGCTCCTTAGGCCTCTCCTGTTCCTCGGGTGCAGGGGCAGAAACGAAGTTTGAGGGAAACACACCGACTCTACCTCTGAGACGACCCCTCCACCATCCTTCCTCCACTTCTCCCAGAAACTCTATCGAGTCTTGCGGTACTAAAGTTAGCTCGTCCTCGTTACAGGGATCGTAACTGAAGAGGACTTTGCAGAAACGTCTGCCGGAGCCGTTCCTCAAAGTGACATTCTCGTCAGATTTCGTGTTGCTACCGGTCTCGCTACCATTACTTCCGCTGGCGGCCGAGGAGGGGTCCAATACCTGCACGCCAAATATTTTTGCATGAGAATCTGTGAACGTGCACAAACAGGTGATAAACCGTAAGAGATGTGATTCGACATGTAATACCTTAACAAAGTTATCGGGGAACATGCCACGCTTGTCCCTCAAAGTGCCCTCCCACCATCCCCCAAGCATCATCTTGATCTCGGTGATGATGTCGCCCTTCCTTAGCGTCAACTCGTCTTCCTCTTGCGCCACATAATTGTACTCCACTATCGCCTCCATGACTGAGGACAGTCGCGACGTCGGCGAGAATTATTCCTGCGGAAAAACAGCCTTACAATGCCTTACGAGGCGGGAGAGTTCGATTGGCTCGAACTGGTTTGATTATCTCGGCGCCGACACGCCTCGGTACGATCGACCGACGCGCGGAACGTTGAGAATTCGCGAGGGGGAGGAAAAACGGGTCGCGCGCGCGGAAGCAAACGTTGTAACGCGCGTAAATACGTACGGGTTACGAGGTGACGTGCGTTCTCGGACTGCCTGGGTGCGTTTCTGTCTGACGGACGGTCCCGAGCGGACTCGCGTACTCGAGCATCGCAGTGCGGTCCGATGAAACGCGGCGCAACGCGGAGATTCGCGCGGCGCGACGCGCGGCGCGGAAACGGCACGCCGCGTGACACGGAATTTAGGCTTTAGGATCCCGGGCGGAGTTGACAGCTCCTCGTATCTGTCACCGCGGCCATCTTACGCTCCGGAGACCACGGCGCGGCGGCTCCGATCTCCAGGCGAAGCGGTGCGCATGCCACCTGCTCTTGAGGCCATCGACACCGGACGTGTCGTCCACCGCCATGCTGAGTCGAACGACAGCGGGACGGGCTGGGCGCGTTGCGGGCCCTGACGTGCGGCTCCATTTTTATGGCTCTCGAGACGTTTGCTCTTTAATCTCACCAGCTCGGCGGCGACTCGGCATCACGCCGAAGCCTGTCGCGGCGAGAAGTTCAACGAAGGACCAGGCGAGGACGTCTTATCCTCGATCGCGCGCAGCCACGACTTCGGCACGTTTGAACGCGGAGGAGTATGGTGGAGCGGCCGGATCCTTCCGCTCGAGACTCTCCGGGCGCTCGCGCGAGATGCGCCTCGCTCATCTGCCTGCGTGATTCATCTCTCGACGCAACACGCTTCTTTGAATGGACGCGCGTTGCTTGCCGTAATGTGAGTCATGACGCGCACGTGCGTTAAGTTATATCGCGCGGCGATTCTAGTCCGCGCGCGTACCACTATTTCGCATTGCTGCTTCAGCCTTCACAGTTAGTGCGGATCCCCGCGACTTGAAAGATGCTGATGATCTTCCCGGAAGATCAGCAGAATACCTTTCACACATCTATTAAAGAACAATTGAGGATGTTGATCGAAAACAAAGTATTGTATATCTCTATCTTGTCTTGAGAAATATTATTTTTCAATAAGAAATAAGATAGCCGAGTGCCCTTATAGTAGCATAGTGCGTTGGCTAAACATCGGCCCAATACGACCGAATGTTGGGCCAATGTTTAACCACACGGAGAGAATTTTCTCTTAAAATTTATCTTGAGAATCACGTGGAACAACATGGCATTTTGTAGAATTTTATGAGTTTTTGAAATTTTACCATGCATTTTACTAGTAAATAAATGGTAGTATCGTAAAAATTTTCTTGAAAATGCCATGTTGCCCCACGATTACATGATTTTCAGGGTAAATTTGAAAAGAAAATTCTCTCCGTGCAATGTTTGGCCACTGTGCTGCTAAGGTAGCATTATATATAATACAACCCCCCTCCTCCCGTCACTAAAGAATTCGTGTTACGAAAAATATTACTTCAGCCAAGGCTTGAACCTGAACCTCCCTCAGAGATTATTTTTATTTCTTGTTACATACAGCGCAGTTTTCTATATATCGGACATCTAACTTCTTCTCGTCATCGATCGTTGATTCTGGCCTCCCGTTTAATTTCCACTGTCACGGCACCATCGTAATCTTGAACGTCGAGTGACGCGACACGCGACTACGTCCCGCGTATCGCGCAATTTGCGAACGTGACAATCCGCTAAGTCCCACGTCGACTGAGCTCGAGGCCCGAGCGCGTTCTCCATTTCGAGGAAGAGAGAGAAGACGCTGCGCAATGTGCGCCGCGTACCTACCTGTCAACGGGGCACCTCGCGCTTCTCCGTGGCTTCCTGGTGCGTGCGATTCAGCGCGGGCGCTCAGCTGGAAAACGGTGCCGTGTCGTCCTCCATTTTCAATGCGCTGATTCACGCCGATAATCGCTCGCGCCTTATCGCCGAAGACTATCACGTATTGGCGACGCGCCGCGAACGCCAAAGATATCCTCCGCACGTGTACGTGCGCCGCTATGGTTGAGTAATTCGTTTAACGCACTCGGGTCACGCACTTGAAGAACCGTTGCGTTACAATCAAGCCTCACTTTCCTCCTTACTTTTGTCAGGCATGAGTAACCCGCTTATCCCTTTCGTCCCCCCTCGTGCTTTGTCGTGCTCTTCGGTAAACGCCGACTAAATTTGTTTTCTTTCTTTTCCTTCTTTTTCTAGTATCGCGGAATTACAGAACTCGTTCCGATAAGAAAAAGGCGCAGTGTGTCATAGGTAAAAAGTGTGTATCTTTATTTATTATTGATTCAGACATCGAGTTAAACAAGTTGTTCCGCTACAAACTTAAAAACTTCTCTTATACACTTATACATTTAGATAATCGATCGCGAAGTTTGAGTTAAATTATGTAATAACATGATCATTCTTGAGGGTGAGGTGGTAATATGACAAATGAAACTTTGTGAAAGCTGTCGTTACATCGTACGTTCAATCTCCCCGCATTTATCTCTTCGGTGATCGGGTAAAGTCTTGTTGCTTTACAAAGTCTGGGAATGATAATTACATCGCGCAAAATTAATTCGAACTCTTAATTAACTTCCACCATCGAGAAAGTTTTAAACAATTTTTCGTGAAGAACATTTCTTTCGGTTTGACGCCTGAGTGAACAATTTTGTCAGACAAAACTATTCGCCCGATCTCAACCATTCTATTTCACCTCTATATATCTTAACAAGATTCGTAACAAAAACACAGCTGATTCCTATCGAGAAACTTTCATCATATCGTTGAAAATCGCAAAAGTCGTTGAAAATCGAGAGTTATGAATTTGCAGAACCGTAACTAGAATGCAAAATGGAAATAAAGATATTTTTCATTGTGTACAACCTATTCTAAAATCCAGACAAAAATTGCACGCTGATGAATACGTAGCTGAATTCTACCAAAAAGTTTTACGAAATTTGCAGATTTAAGAATGCCGCAAAAATCTGAGCGAATACAAGGTGAAAGAGTCCAGCGCGAATCCCGATATTCCGTCACGGATATTTTTCGTGGAGTCTCAAGGACGAGATTACGGAATGGCTGATAAAATTGCCGTTGAATTCGCGATACGTGGAAGAAACTCTAGTTACGGCACTGCACGCGCGCGCACATACGTGGCAGGTTCAACTCAAGTCATATAAAAAGATTCTCTTCCAAAAGACTCTTCAGCCGAAGACCAGCTTCGGGTGAGAAATCAAGCACTTCGATGAAGGCAAACGATCCAGCGTCCCTTGAAAAAAATTTGTACAAGCGACTCTACCGTCCACGTGGGCGACGCCGTTCTTACAAATTGACTCTTTTTTTTTACTTTTCTTTTTACTATTTTTCGCCGCGTTTCCTGCGAGTAACAAGCACCCGCACTTTAAACGAAAATTCTACATTCGAATGTTAATCTTCCTGACTAGAGAATGTTAATTTTCTTAACTAGAGAAATTCATTTTTCAAGAAATTAATGTCAAGTTCCACGGGTGCTTCTCCTCGTTACAAACAGTCCGCGGAACAAAAATTAACGATCCTGACAAATCACGCGCGCATCTAAAGAAGAGTTGACGAGAATAGAGCACATTGGACAACCAGGTTTCTCTAATCGCATCTAATCTCCGTTAATCCAAGATTTCCCAAACTTTCGAGATATATACACTGGTCCTCGGACAACGATACAAGACGTTTTCGCTTACTTCATCCAAACTTTCACGACTAGGGTAAAGAAAAATTATAAAATACTTCCTGCGTTAATTTTGGAGTAACTTCGATTTCAGTCGTTTAAAAGCTCACTTTTAAACGAGCGAAGATACATTAGTTTCGTTGTTTTGGTACGCCACTAGATTTTTGAAAAGTATGCATCGAAAAGGTTCAGCCCACGTCCGCGTTTCAAGTTTGGAAAATCCTGATTGCTAATTAAAGGGCACACGTAGGTTGCTTTGACAGGCGAAACAATCGAATTCCATAGTGTTTTTTTTTTATACAAATACGCCGCGATTTATAAATATATAAAAGCAACAAATATATATACCGTCGTTATCGTGTGTATATATATAATACATATATGTATATTTATATATTTATATAATATCGTCTTGCACAAAATGGTACAGAGCCTATGCCGTAAAACTATTGTGTTTAGGATTGCGCGCTGAAGAAACAAACGGTGTACCGTGGCGATCGTTGTTGCATTGACGCGTGCGAGTCGCCAAGTGATCTCGTTTCGTCGGCATCGTCGCTACAATGTCAATCGATCGCGACGGATATAGTGCGTTTCTCGTCTGAAGTGTGCATGCGCTCTTTGAACTCGGCCGTGTCGCGATGCAGCCTGCGGCCGCGCATGCAAGCGTGCGAAAAAGCGCGAACTGGGTTTTCGCAAAGTTTCGCGGGCGCCCTCAATATCGCGCCACCAGGAGATCGTAAGAGTTACAAGATTGCCATTCGCAATGCAGTTCAAACCGCACGTGAATGCAGCCTGAAGCGGAGTTGCGTGATTGTTGTGTATAGAAATCAGAAATCGGGGCGGTGAAAATCGTTCGCGATTCACCAGACGAGAGACTCGATTTTTAAGGTGTATACTTATTAACGAGAAAATAATATGTCGCAAGGATCTATCGATTCTCTCTCGCATAATTCCGATACCTAATGTTCTCTGAGATAATAATGAAACGAGATTTTGTAGCTTCAATCGGGCATCGACCATCATCGCGTTACCTTTCCATAGATTTCCCCTCGATCATAAGCGATCGATCATAAAGCGATCCGTTACGGTATCTCGTACAACGTATCTCTTATCTATCTTCCTTTCGTCTTAATTTTCTTTCTTATAATCACTGATAGGCACAATAAAGGCTTTTATGTTTCTGCCAGCGTAAACGAGGAGCGTACCAAAAGTAATTTTATCAAAAGGCCAATAGTTATGTGATTCATGATCAAATAAATATAAATAATCCTCTAAATAATAGGGACAATATTTCTCGTAATGTAAAGACACTTGATTGGAATTGAAGGTTTAATCAAATCTTTAAAAAAGTAAACCTGCTTTTTGTTATTGAAACAGTTATACGTTATTATATGTCTTATATATTTTTTATTTAATTGTTGTATTTTATGCAAACATTTTATTTCTTTCTTTCATTTTCATTTATTAAAACACAATAAAGTCTGCCTTGCAAGTGAATGCAGCGACTGAAAAGTATAAATTAAAAACCGAGGAACTTGATTTTATGTTTATTTAAGAAAACTCTGTCAACATTTAAAAATTAGGAAGATTAATTTCATTTAAGATCGATCGGATAGTTTACGCTGTGCAGTAAAACGCGTACGTATTGCAGTGTGTTATATGGCAGCTAACATAATCTCTCGCGGCCCTTAAATCCCCCTCGGGCCGCAAGTATGGCCAGTGAAAAATGCAAGGACGCTATTATCCTTTTTTTTTCATAACGACTTAAGTGCTCCGTTTGTTATGCGAAACAAGATTGGTGACATTTTGTAGGAGAATGTATTGCATTATCGCGAGACGTCGAATACAATACGGGTCACGGAAAATGTTCCATCACGATTATCAAAGCGCATTAATTAAGCGTGGATTATCACGTGTGTGCACCGATATGAAAGGTTTGATATACAGATGTCAAGTGCTCGACATTGTTTCAAAGCTTCACGTCAGGCTCTTAGAACAGACTTATTTTTTTATGAACACATGAATATTAACGGTTCTTCTTTTTTGGATACAAATAGCATTTGCTAGTCTTACGCTACACCATTTTCTCAAAGCAGAAGGAAAGTTTTATTCGACATCAATGTAAAAACAGCCAATTTTAAAGGATCTTCGCGTGCAATGGTGCAATAAATTGCAGTCTCTTGGATATATTTAGATAAAGGAAACTTTTAGGATACTCTGGAATGTCTCCTTGAATATTTCTTTAACAGTCGTCTCTCTTACTTAAATTTACTTCCAGTCTGAAATAGTTTCGTAATTTGAAAGTCAGATCGTGATTATTATTATAACTACGTTTAATGCATTAAACACTTTTAATTTCGGCAATCACATGTCTATTAAAAAAATGATTCACACCTCGATATTAAAACGAACGGTATCCTATATAATTTTGTTGTTGTTAGTGTTCGCTTCGAAACTCGACATCAAAGTAACATATGTGCAAACTTTGGCATCTGTGCATCAAATAATCCCGACGTAATCGCGCAAGCCCTTCCCCGCGGGAAGAGCCCTGGTCCTCGTTGAGAGACATCGGTAGTAATCGCAAGTCTTATATAATAATATCGTTTTCTAGACGGTAATCACAATGCGTTTGACGATGTCTTCCTCGCGTAGACATACTAGAATAATAATACGTCGATTACTGCGAAAGTGTGTCGCCTCAATAGCGTCGAGAAGATGTTTCCTTTTAGTTAGGCCTTACCAAGCGAATCTAAGTGAACGTTCTTAAACTGCTTACGATACCCAATGAATACGTCTGATCCGCGAAAGTCTAACATCGACGAGACTTTCCGAAAAATTGTTCGTAGACAAATACACAACTCGCGAGTTGTCCTTTCGTCGCGCATATCTGCCTCATAAATTTCAGCCGTAGTCTTCTCTCTCCCAGCTGATCCGCTAAACATCTTTGGGTTAACGTCAAACTCACGCGGAATAAAAATGATCGGTTTACTCGGAAGAGCTAACCGACGTTCATCAAGCCGGCCTACAATTAATCAGATCAATTGCCGACGCGTCTCTCGATGATGCGTTGAGGCGTTCCGATTACCTCTTAGCAAGAGTTCCGTCGAATCTCTCTACATTCGCACGAACGTGACTCGGGTCACTATAAATAGACATCTATGACGTGTAATCGCGTATCATAGACAAACTTTGCGATAATCTCAAACGTAGCTCGGGCTTAACCGTAATGTGCGTGTACGTGTATTCTCGAGTTATCCATAACTTACCTCGCACGGGCGACAAATGTTTCCTTATGGTGTTTATCATGACTTTGATGACGATCCATGACCGCGGCAGATCACAATTGTTTCGCGCTACCGCCTCTGCATTACGCTATAACGACGTTGTCATTCGGGCTCTCGCGCGTAATAGGGTGCAGGGTTCTTGAGGTAATACCTATATAATATCCTTTGCGATTATTGCAGATGGTGTGGTGGTATCGTGATTAATTGCCCGGGCCACCCCCGCCGAGTATATACGAACACCTCTCGCGTCGTCCAAGTCGATTTCCGTTCGACGACCGACTCACGATCGCGTCGCGTATGTACAGGTATGGAAATGAGCGATTCTCTCCCCTTGTGCACGATGAACAGACGAAATCCTTTGTGCCCGGATTTAATTCTTGGCTGCCGTCGAAACTTCCAACCGGCGAGATAGACCTCCGCTGATCGTCCGTCGAACTAACAGCTGCATCTCCAGGCATCACCTTGTTGAGACGGTGACTGCGCCTTAATTATACTGTCCGCGCCTTCTCTCTCGGAAGCCTCGAACAGGCTAGCCTGCAACAGCGATTGTTCACTGCGCTTGAGAAAGCTCGGTCCCGTTAAGTTTACAAAAGATGAGAGAGGAAAGAATCGCTTCATAGAAATCTCTTCTATTATATCCCGAAGAAAAGCTATCGAGTGAACTTACTTGCTGCAGAATGTAACTTAATGGTAATAATATAAAAATTATAGACTTTGGATGCATTAAAAAAAATTTTTTTTTAACGCAAGTAAGTCTTACCCGGCGGCCTCGTTGTTCCCGTATTCTTCTGGCTAGAGTGAGGAAAGCCTCTTCGATGTTTATGTTCTCCTTGCATGATACCTCGAAGAAGGGCATATCGAAATTTTCAGCGATCTTTTGACCTCTCTCAGCGTCCACAGCGCGATGCGCGGTTGCGTCGCATTTATTCGCCGCCAAAACTTTTACCACGTCTGGTGACGCATTCTATGATGCAAACGACGGAATGGTTTATGATTCATGCTCTCGTACGACAACTTCTATTACATACAGATGACTTCGAATCGATTGCGGAAACATTCGCTCGCAAAATTAATACTTTTTGAGCGTCCAAGTTTTAATTCATTAAACTCTGCATTTGACACTGAATGGATCGGTGCGCGTATAAACTTGTAACATATTTTATCAATTTTCTTTCAACTTTTCCCATTTAAAGTTTTATTCAAGTAAATCTTTTAGCAATTTAAATGGGCTTTTTAAGTTTTTTTTAACGAGACCATTTAAACAGTAATACGGCGCGAATTTATTCCCGTTCGCGTAATGTTCTATGTTTAGAATGTTTTTACTCTTACTTCTTGAATATTTCGTAGCCAGTACGACAGATGATTGAAACTCTCCAAGCTAGTGACGTCGTACATCAAAAGGATACCCATGGCACCACGATAGTACGCTGTTGTTAAAGTTCGAAATCTTTCTTGGCCGGCGGTATCCCTTGTAAAAAAGATCCATTCACAGCTATATTTTCTGCTCTTTTATTCTGTTTACAACTTGCCACATGCAGATTATGTTTTACAATGAGACTCAAGAGAGAACAGATAAACTAAAATTTTCGGACAGAATACTTTGGTTTCTTGATTTGATTCTCAAATGTTATTTAACGACTAATTATCTATTAAGAACTTACGAGAAAGAACTGATTAATACTCACCAGATTTGTAATTTTATCGGCGTTCCGTCCAAGTTAATGATCTTTTGTTTGAAGTCAATACCTGTAGATACATGCGCCATTTATGTATATTTATCGTCGTGCATAAATATCTTCGGGATATTTAGACACCGAACAAATTTGAAAGTTGAAATAAAATCAAGGATTCGTGAAACACTCTAATTATGTTTGTAGCACGGAACAATTAGATACTATCACTAATTAGATGGCCATTGCAATAGTTTATACACCAGAATTTCATATGTTTCTCGCGTGCGAACAGGATGATTAAAACCGCATGTATACGGGAGCTGAATTATTCCTTGTAATGGAGAACAAATGCGAAATAACTAACTATAATATTTCCACACAAACGAGGATATATCCAGAAAACAGTTCTAAATTACGACAATTTATACCAGGACAATTGGCCGGAAATAGTTTGACCCGACAGTACATTTAAAATTAAACAGTTTTATCGCAACATCGAAGTTAGGACGGATGCAACCGGATAATCAGCTGATCGATGCTGACTCAATATACATTTTACGGAATATATAAGTATGCCACATCCGCGATCAATTAGCAAATTTAGTTGAATGTAGAATAAAATAATATTGTTTGTTCCTACTAACAATATGATTCAATGTAAGAGTTAAAGAATTAAAAAGGAACTTGGCTCTCCTTATTTTGTGACAAATAAGGAAAATAAGAACAATGCATTAAACGTAAATACAGAATGATGCAAAAAAATAAATTGAAATAGAAATTATTCGGATCGTCTGTGAGAACTGCATTGGAGAGCAAGACGTGACCTCACCGATAATAGCCGAGAGTTAATTAACGTTTACGTGTGTCAACGAGGTGTGGAACCGACACATTGGTTCATGGTACCTGGAGCAAAATTAAAGCGCGTGACTCTATTGTTCCAGGGAAGATGAGCCGTCGTAAAGCGGCCGCAACCGACGCCAATATGCGTCACAATGATCATCGAAGAACAAGTCGTTGAAACGACTCACCAACGCGGCATCGGAGGCGGTCGCCGCAGGTGAATGGGCAACCCGTGATGTACATTTTTACAGTCATATGCATACGCGTGTCTCCTCACCTATCGTCGAGATGTAAGTATCGTAGTACCGTTCGTCGCAGTAGCGATGCACAATACAGGTCTTGCCGACATTCGAGTCACCCAGCACCAGGACCTTGTACGTCGCTGCGAAATCCAACGCCATGTTTGCCGTGGGTCTCGGGTGGTTTTGAACTGTTGTTGGGTCGACAACAGAGTCGTCGGCCGGGAGTTGTTCCCCGCGGACGCTCGGGGAGACTGGGGGGTGGAAGATCGATTCGAGGCTTGCGCTTTAGCCCACCGTACAGTAGGGGTTGAAGGTGTCCTCACAATCGTCTGTGACTTTTCGTCGCTCATGCGCGGCTTCTAGATGTTAAAAGGGCGCACAGTGTGGGGAGATGCGGGCAGCGGGTGCGTGAAGATGTGTGCGTGTCCGAAGGTGAAGCCGAAGATCAACGCAGCCGGACGGCGGTGTCTACCGGGAGCAATGTGCAACTCTACAGCCGTATATGTATAATGCATGCAACACATAGGAGAACGCAAGGAGGCTGTCTCCTCTATTTATACGTTTCTCTCTCTTCGAGTCTCTTCCTCATGTATAATAAAACCTTGCGCGTCTTGCGGAATAATTCGATCCGGCGCGGCGGCGACGCAAGGGTTCGACGATCTGCGCGAAGGATCTGCGTACGGGAATGTGAGAGGGATGTTGCAAATAATTAAGCAATTATCGGAAATTAGGCCGCTTTATTTTATTCGCATTACGAATCGGACCGAGACATCTTTTCTGACTAAAATCGTCAAACTATTTATAGCTATATCGACAATTGCATATTTATCCTTTGCTCTGTTCGATAGTAAAATATTACGAGAATCAAGTTCGAAAATTTATGAACGTTCGACCGCTCGATACGGTCAATTTAGTCTACATCGCAATACACTATCTTGTCCTTGTGACAAAATTTCTATCTCCCTTTTTCTCAAGTATGCTACAGTTATATCTATATGTCCCTAAGAAATGGATAAAATGACGCGTGTAAACTACTCAAGTACTTTTCGGGAATTTGTCGCAAAGTATTATATATATATCCTACAATAAATATATGTATATGTATATAACAATAATAAAATTAGTTTTGATACTTTGGTAGGTGTAAGCTGCACTCGTTAATCAGGCCACATTATCTACCAGGATATGTGTCTCTGCTGCACAGACAATATTGCATGTTAAAGACTTCATTAATCCAAGTAAGCGAGCTTCTAATTACCAGATTAGAAGTAAGGTGTCGATGCGTTAGCACTGTATGCGATACGTTAAAAAACTAGAATTAGCAAATTGATAGTATTGTTAGAGCGTGTGTGAAGTCCTTCTCTTTGCATTTCAAATAAATACTTTTCAAATGACCATCTGCGTTTGCCGCTAAAATACGCGAAAACTGTTTTCGTTCGCAATTGCTTATCGCCTTAGTTAACAATAATCATATAAATAACATATTATGTGTAGGCACTTTAAGCATTATAACTTGTATAAGAAGTTAGGACACTATTTTCGGTTATAACATTGCCTGTAAGTTGTACAATCCTGCTTGTCACGATAACGTCTTGCTTACGTAGGCTATCTACATGATATGTTCTTAATTAATACAATATCTAAATTTACTTAGAGTAATACTTTAGACGCTACCGTTCGCAGTCTACAATATATCCTAAATTAAAGCAGCCTCAATGTTAACAAAGTCTTCAGCTAATGCAATCTTTTCCGTTGATAAATCTAAGGACTCGTTCCAAGTCTCATCCTTGTATAAATGCTAACCTTTCATAAATAGAGTAAATAATAGAATAGAGTTTGCGTTTACGAACAATAAAGTACGTAAGAAAGAACGTGGTAACTTGACACGCAAAAAGAGGCACGTAACTCAAGTTCAGTCGAATTACTTTCAGAACACATTCATTCATGAGAATACTATTGCGAGACATGTTTCCGGGATATTTGTAACATAAAAGTTCATCTCGTATCCCCGCGTTAACAATCGATCTATCACAGAGATTAACAGACGTTTGGCGTTTGTGTTAGACCGAGTTTTTCGCGTCGCGGAATTCTCTGCTTTCAGGAAGAACGTTAACTTAACGTAGGCCATTCTTGTAGGAAGAATGGGATAACATCGGATTACAATAGAAACGACCAAATACATAATCCTATGAGCACGATGCTCGACATGTACGCTAACGAATTAGGAAGATGGATATTGTAAATACTTTCCCGTTTAATCAGCCATAATGGAACGACGACGTGAAGAATATCCGGTATCATGAAGCCCAGATCGCGTATCACCTTCGAGCAAGTCAAAGATAAGTTACAAGATGCCTTTCTCTCAGTTATTATTTACGGATTCTTACCTGGTGCGCGTGGCCCTCTCCTCTGATGACATTCTCGAAAAATTGATCCCATCCGCCAGCCACGATATGCAAAAGGGCTATCGCGGCAATGCCGAACGCCTTTCTATGAGTTATGGGATTCTTCTTATCCGCGAGATAGACGACCCAACATGTGGACAACAACTCGGTGATGGTAAAGAACAGCTGGTGATACCACTGGGAGTAGAAGTCGTCGTTCCAATAGTTAATATAAACCCACCACGAGTAATAATTGGAGAACAGAGCGGACGAGAAGAGGAGCATCATGGACTGCCTCAGTCTCTGTTTGATCGCCAACTTCGCCAAGTGCTTCATTGTCTCGTAAAACGCGATCACCCCGATGACAATGAGCACCCATATTTTCAGCATGTTCGTAGTGGCATTGAAATACATGTGTTTGTACGGAGCAATACCGGATTCGTATGAGCCTGTAAAAGAGTCTCAGAATTAGATCTACGATTGCCGATCGGCGGCATTTAAAGATATTCGTAGAATCTACGTAAATTTTCTCACCTTTAAAGACAGTGTCCCAGCACGAGCAGGAGCAGTAACGTTTATCCACGACCCTCGAATAATCCTGCCAGAAATAATACAGAGTTGCGATCTGCAACGGTGGAATCGTTAAGGGTCCTATGATGCCCACGAATCTCGCTCCGCTTGTTGCAATGTTTTTGCACAGAGCACGCTTCAACATCTTCAACGAAGCCATTTGTCTGGATTGACGTGTTACGACTGAACAGATAGCGTTGCGTAACTTTGCTGTGTATTTTATGAGTTAAAATTCTCTCTCTTATCACATATACTGCTATCATATTATCGATAAGACTGATACCTAGCGCTGTGCATTGGCACTTGTGGTCGTTAAGTACTCAAAGATAGCACAAGAACACTTTAACCGAGATACCTAACTATATTATACAATTTCGTAATATGATCTGATTTTCACTTTGGAAATGCTATTATCATCCTCACTTTATATGAACGACAATGTTCTTGCAAATCCTTTGTGCTTCTCATGTAAAATCATGATCCTCTGATATCCTTGGACTTTTATCGAAATTAAGAGACAAGTGAAACGTGTGGACGAACTCTACAACGTAGGATATATTTTAATTCTCTACAACGTGTGACGAGTCCTTAGGTACGAAACGGCAGGTAATGAACAAAAACTCAAACGAAAAACTGTTCAGCACATGTTTATTGCAACGACACGTGTTTATTTCACACAATGCGCATTGTTGTTCGTGCGCCACACCGTGCAAATTGGTATGGAGGTTTCTCGGCTCGTCAGGACTTTTCAGCTGTTACGTCATGGCGATTATCTTGTTTATTTAGGTGGCAACAGGCTGCACACGAGCAACCATTATCGGTGCTCTCCGAGGGGGCACCTTCGACTTCACATTTCTACGAAGTCGACGATTTCACGTGTAGGGCCGTTTAATCAGGAAAGAATGGTCAGAAATGGAGCAAACAGCCCCCTCTGCCACATCCGTTGTGAAACGCCATCTTGCTCCAAGTTGCTTGGAAGAAACTTTTGCTTCAGACGACAGGAAGTGCAGGCTTAGCTCGACTGCAGATACGAATTCTAGTCGTTAGAAAATGCGTAGATGAAAATGTTAAAATTGCACGAGATCTTCTCTGTTGACTAAGTTAATCTATTTATAACTGCAAATATTAAGTTGTTAAATAAAAGCAACCTGACGTTAAATAAAAGCACCTGACGTATCGACAACCATTAATTCAGTGTTCTGTATCGCTATCGCTCGATGAGTTCCTCTGAAAGCAATTTCGATATACATTATTTTGATCTTGTCGGTTTCAACTCCGGACAATTATTTTATCTGCATCAAATATCTGCGATTTATAAAAGATTATATAAAAGAAAAATTACTAATGTTATCTGAACATTGTTGCAGTTCATTGCAATCTTCCATTATTTTTAACCAAACTTTAGTAATTTCAATAAAGACATGTCTCTTCGAAAAATATGTGTACAATAATGATTTATTAAAAATTTATAAATGAAGATGATAGAAAATATTATCATCTCGCATTCATTATATTATTTAGAAAAAACGAGACTAACAATTGTTCTACTTTTAAGCGTTTGTGCAGGACTTTAATGTGAAAATGGCAAGAAAATATAAAGCCAAAAGTTTTCATCTGTGTCGATGCTGCTACAAGTGGCGTTGTCAATGTCTGGTGCCACGGAAGGAGAAACCACACCCCCCTTTTAACAGCGGAACAAAGCCAGGTAGCAAAATGGGTTTGCATCCCAAACTGAAGGCACTTATGCCAATATCTCCAGCTGTGGGTTCCTACGATCCTCGACGGAGTGATCGTAAATTTGTAATCGGGTAAAACGCAACCTCCGACTATCTCGAACTGACACGAGAATTTCTATCTAATGGAAAAAAATTGCATTGCAGTTGGAGAAGGCAACAAGAAACGCGAGAATTCTCCGCAATAAGTGGTAGACTGACAAAGGAAATTGTCGCCCAAAAGAACCTAATGAAGACTGGACGTGGGCCCGGGAGTTACGAGATATCTCGCTGGCCGGAGAGTACTATGGATGCACCCTGTAAGAGTTCGCAAACAGACGCTGTTTTCGGGACCGTTCCACGATTTCAAACAAGTTGTAAATCCACCACGCCCGGTCCAGGTTAATAGGATTACCTTATATCGAAAGAATTAGTCAAACTATTTTTTTAAGGCAAAACTAGAAGGTTTCCTTCGAAGTTCCATTATCTTGTCAGATTACATGAAAATTCTCTGAGTTATGTTTTAATTAACAATCTCTGTATGCCTCTTCCATGATGCTCTACTTGGATACCTGGTTGGCGTCTGTTACATTCTTAAGGATACACGCTGAGAACGCACAATCCCTTTTTCTATTTCGACCAAAAAAGGTTAAAAGGTGTTTCTTACATACCTTCGTTTGAATTCGACAATTTAGCACCTAGGTTCCGAGAACCTGTAAGAGCGTGGTCTGTACCATGCACTAGGTAAATGCGTCATTTTTACAACATTCTTTTCATTTATTTTATTTCTCAATTTTTCACATTGTAAAATAATTAAATTTTTACAACAGATACAACGTGAAACACCCAAACTCGCTGCAAGCATACCTCGAGAAAGTTACGAGCAAGAGGGGACCTTACGATCTCTTTACAGGTACTAAACATTATTTTATAAGTGCATTAATTTCGCAAGTACAGTTTAAGACTTGCTCGATAGAGTATTATCTTATAAAAATTCGATGCCTTAAAAATCTGTGTACAAAAACAAAGATTTAACTACAAAGTGCATAGATTTTTACTTTCAATTTGAGGACCGAGAGATGAAACTACTATCAAGGGATACTGGGCGCAAGCGCAGTTAGAGGATCGGGATAATTGGCCACGAAAATTGCCAGGAGAAATGGAGAAGCTTTCGAGCAAATGCAACTATTTCAAAGGAAGATGGTCGACCAACCCTAGGTATTGAAAAACTCTCAATAAAAAATGGAATATTATAAATAAAGGTACAATCATATGATTATAATTTATGCACGTGTATCGTATAACGAAAATTATTTTGAATGAAAAAATCTCTTAAAAGGTTTTTGAAGAAACCAGTTACGAGGATAATGTTACAAGACGTCAGTACGTGCTACAAGGACCCTGATGAACCAGGGCCTGATCATTACAATCCTCGAACGCCCCGAAAACCGAGTTCATTAAAAAGATATCCCTTTGATAGCAATATAGAATACGTACGACCGCTTCCGCCAAGCGGCATTCGTCCTGGACCAGGAAGATACAAGATTAAACGGGAATGTCCTGTAAAGGGACACGGGTGGACTTGCGTTTTCAAGAGCAAAGTGCCTAGAACGATTGGCATTATTACTCCATCGTTACATAATAATTACTAATTTCTGTGAACATCATAGTATAATAAAATATCTAAGCCGTGTTATTAGAGAATTCTTAATAGATCTGGAGCTTAATAGCTGTGCACTGAGAAAAATATCCTTGCCAATCTAATCGGATAATCAATTACATATTAACAAACGGATATATTCAATTAAATTTTATATCCGATGAAAAATATAATCGGTTTTTTTTTTATGAAATTCATCGGTAACTGCAATTACATTGAATCGGAAAACTTAATCAGAAAAGCCGATGGTTAATTTTTCATCGGAAACGCTACTTGATCGATTTATCTAGTGAAAATTTTTCTTAGTGTGTAGATATGATTACTTTAAGAGCAAAATTTGATACGTATTGCATATATGTATATTACGTTGCAATATAAAATTTGGCATATATGTAGAATTCATTTCATGGCAATTATCGATCGTAGGTGTAAGTTTCATTACGACGAAAGTTGCCGCGACACTAAATCTACATGGATCGCGTGACAGCTCCTGTCCCCGCGATGAGATCGCCGATTGCTCTACTGCTAATTTGAAAGTCCAATGATCGTCGTGACTTATCGCGTGGATTAGCTCGAACGGCATGTCGTTTCGTCGTTTTTTTTCCCCCCATCGACGGTGTTCCTCGGTGCAAGAGGCGCAGAATTTCGTGCCAGGTGGGAAATGGTAACGGGAGCCCTGCGAGATAACGACGCGAGCTCAGCGATTATCTCGGCTGCACCGAATGCATAATTCGTACGTATACCGTGAACTTTGAACTGGTTCCACGAGCGCGTTTCATATCGGCAGCTCTAAACGGACTCGTTTAATCGTGTTCGAAAGACCACCCTTTTCATTTAGGTCCTTACCACACACGTCATTCGTTGGTGGTGGAACGTCCCCGCCGCCGTTCGGGCTTAATCACCACAATAGAATAAGATGAAATTGATTGAATCATATGATCGTGACGGGCTCGCAACGGCGAGAAATCGCCGCTGCGTCCACGGTGGCGATTGTCGCCCTTACGCAATCTGGATCGTTACAACGCGAGGACCAATGAAGCGCGAATGAAGGAAAAACGGCGTCGCGAGGAAAAATATACCGCTAGTTAGGAAACGGCAAGCGTGCAGCGAAAGAAAGATTTTTCCTGTAAATTATAATCGCATCAAGATATGCAAGATATACCCGCCACAGGACCGGAAGCACGTCACGCGCGCGCACGAGCTTGAGAAAAGAAATGAGAAAAATTTCTCGCGGCGTGCCATATGGCGGATAATTTTGTAGATTGATGGAGGATTTCACGGAGCAACTGACACCCAGTGTATGGGTTCCCATAGGCGGATGCCGCTGTGTAACGCGGCTGTCGTGTAGGATGCTCGCATTAGTTGCAAGGGCGAATTAATCGGTACGCAATTGGGCGTTAATAACTTTCTAATTTACGGCCGACGCCGACGCCGACGCGCCTCTCGCAAGATCGATCTGTGCCGTTGAGTTCGTTCACCCGCGAGATTGCGAGTGACAGACCGCGTTGAAAGATACGCGAATATTGAAAGATGTGAAGAAAAAAAAATTTTATCGAAAATTAAACCTTTAATATAGAGATAATAATAATAATATCTCTCTCTCTCTC